CATTCAGCAAGAAACCACCACATCAACAGATAAAAAAATCCATCTAATAAGATATACCACACGGCTCCATTCAGCAAGAAACCCCCACATCAACAGATCAAAAATCCATCTATTAAGATATACCACACGGCTCCATTCAGCAAGAAACCACCACATCAACAGATCAAAAATCCATCTATTAAGATATACCACACGGCTCCATTCAGCAAGAAACCACCACATCAACAGATCAAAAATCCATCTATTAAGAAATACCACAAGGCTCCATTCAGCAAGAAACACTTCATTATTTATCTATGTATACTTAACATTATAGAATTCAATTCAATGAGAACTCCCATACGATTTAGTTCAATAAAAAACACCACAGGATTTCATTTTCTGTATGAAATTCATAGATCTTTCATCTGCTTTGAAATACCACGAGATTTGAATCTGTAAGAAATGCTGTTAGAGTTCAATCCAGTCCTTATTAGAAAATGATAACAAACTTAGTATCGCGTGATATTATATTATTGGTTTTCACATATATATTTCCTGGTAGTCACTTTCATGTTTTCTTCTTCTTCTTCCTGTGTATTCAGCATATGACTACCTTAGTTAGCATAGGTCACACGAAGGGATTTGTGTGAATCACATCCGGGTTTTTACATATGTTAGAACATCAGGATATGGACCTTCAGTAATAAAAGAAACTCCTAAACTGTACAAGATATATAGATAGGTGCGTATAATGTGAAGTGCTGTTTTGTATATAATGTCTGCATCATTGGCTCATTCAATATATTCAACTATACATATTTATAACGTATGCCTAGCTTATTGTTATTAAAAGTTTGTTGTTTTTGCCCCCCCCCCCAGTGACACAACGGTATGTATGCGGACTTACAACGCTAGAATCCGGGTTTCGATGCCCGTGGTTGGCAGAGCACAGGTAACCGATTGTGTAGCTTTATGCTTAATTACAAACAAATTGTTGTTTTTGTTTGTTATTAAGCACAAAGCTACACAAAGGACTATCTGTGCTATGCCCACCACAGGTATCGAAACCCGGTTTCTAGCAGTATAAGTCCACAGACATACCGCTGTGTCACTGGGGGCATTAAAAGGTTAATAATTTTGTAGACATGCTATTACATATATACATACATATACCTTGATCTTTGGAATATGAATCATTATTACAAAAACAGCTCCCCCCGCACAAACAATATATTGATATATATATATATATATATATATATATATAAATTTTTTCAGACCTAAGCTAAACCAGTCTAGTTTCAAGCATATTCTTTAATAGTAAAAATTAGGATTCTTTACCCTGTGAATGCTGAATTTAAGGGCTATTACCACGTAAATAATGCTGTAAAATTTTCAAGCTGCTGTTGAAAGTGAATGGAGGTTGGAAAGTATTAATAAAGTAACAATAATAAAGTATTAATAAAGTATTAATAAAGTAACAATAATAAAGTATTAATAAAGTAACAATAATAAAGTATTAATAAAGTAACAATGATAAAGTATTAATAAAGTAACAATGATAAAGTATTAATAAAGTAACAATAATAAAGTATTAATAACGTAACAATAATAAAGTATTAATAACGTAACAATAATAAAGTATTAATAACGTAACAATGATAAAGTATTAATAAAGTAACAATAATAAAGTATTAATAAAGTAACAATAATAAAGTATTAATAACGTAACAATAATAAAGTATTAATAAAGTAACAATAATAAAGTATTAATAAAGTAACAATAATAAAGTATTAATAAAGTAACAATAATAAAGTATTAATAAAGTAACAATAATAAAGTATTAATAACGTAACAATAATAAAGTATTAATAAAGTAACAATAATAAAGTATTTAATAAAGTATTAATAAAGTAACAATAATAAAGTATTAATAAAGTAACAATAATAAAGTATTAATAAAGTAACAATAATAAAGTATTAATAAAGTAACACCCTCAATGGTTGAGACATTAAAACAAGATTGGTTTTTAGTGAGCTTTATATGCATCACGTGGGTCCGAGGGTTTCATCTTCCAAAAGGGCGTTCATGGTTGAGAATGTATTTAAGAAGAAGAATCGCTAATAAAAATGCCTTTCACGGTTGGTTAATTTTGTAAAACTACTGAAACTCATGTTAGGGCTTTGAAATTTGTTAATAGGACTGGTTAGTAGCACGATCAATTGTTTTGTTTTGAATTTCGCGCAAAGCTACACGAGGGCTATCTGCGCTAGCCGTC